ACACACACACACACACAAACACACGTACAGTCCTGCTGGCCATCCTAACGTTCGTTTCGTCTCCTGCAAGGATCTCTCAACAGAAGCACTCTGCAGGACTTTAGCAGTTTTGAGATACCTTTGCTATGTGTTGATTATCCCATCTTGTCCTTGTTGCTTGTTTTCGACTACAGCAAGGTAGCTGGTAAGCTGGAGAAAAAGAGTATTATTAGGCCTAAATTATTCCTTTTTCGTGTTCTTTTTTATTAAATTATTCCTTTTGTATTACAATTATTCCTTTTTTGTATTAAAAAAACATTTCATCGCTCGCTTACTGTGACCACTGTCTTTTCACTCATCTCATTTTTCGTCTTAATCGCTCGTTTCTCACTGCACTCTTACCAATGCCTGTGTGCATTCAACATATGGCGAATAAGAGGCTGTACTGATGATTCCCACTCCTAACTGTACGCAAAATTCCATCTTTTGCGTATGAGATACGAGATAAAAAAACAGACTTCTTTTTTAACGTGTAACAAATACGACTTGTGACGAGTTTCAGTTGTGGTAACGGTAAGAAATGTACACGACTTAATGGGACCGAAACACTTCTTACCTATTATAATATTTTTTACAAGATTTTATAACATTTACTAATTCTTTGATATTATAATATTTTATTATACTGTAATGTTGTGTATTATTTTCAATATATTGCATTTGTGTTAATATATTTGTCTTAATTATATTTGTCTTGATTATATTTGTCTGTTTGTCTTAATATATAGGAGTATTATATTTGTCTTAATATATTTGTGTTATATATTATTACATTATTATGTATTTGTCTTATTATGTATTTGTATTTGTTTTATACATTATAGTATAATAAAAATTATATTAAAACAAAGGTATTAAGACAGATATATTAAGATATTAAGAAAAATATGTAATACAAATATATTAAGGCAAATATAAGAGTCTATATGATTATATTAAAATATTATAATACTTCTTAATATACTTTTGTCTTCCAACTTTAAAATATTTTTCTACTGTAATTCCTATGCCTATATTCTAATATTCTGTGTATTTTTCTTCGGGCTCATCATGC